AAAGCTATGAGTCTGCAGTTCCAGGCCACAAATATATAGAATGAAAATAGTAATCCTAAAGACATAAGCAGGAAAATATACCTGCCCAATAAAAAAGGGCAAGAATAAGAATACAAATCATAAGAGAAGGCAGAGTTTACCAGAAAAGCCTGTACTTTGCCAAAGAGACAGCTATCCATATGGTGATACAGTAGCCATGCATACAGAGGAATGATGTACAGATGTGTGCTTCACATGGACGAACCTTGAGAACATCAGCTTATGTGAAGGAGATAATCACAAAAGGCCACACGCTATGTGCTTATGATCACAAAATGTCTAATATAAGCAAATTCACAGACATGGAATGTAAACAAAAGGTTGCTCAGTGCTGGAATACCGGGCATGTGGAGGGAATGCATATGCATTGAGGTTTCTTTAGGGGGTGATAAAAATGTTTTAGAATTAGATACTTATGACTAATGTACACCTTTATGAGCACACTAACACCCACTAAATTGTGCTTTATTTACTGAAGACAGATTATTGCATTGTAGGCCAAGCTGGCCTTGAACTCAAGATAATTCTGTCTCAGCCTCCTGAGTGCTAGGATTACAAGCTGTGTGCTACCCGTCTTGAATTGTATATATTTTAAAATAGTGAACCTTGTGGTATGTAAATTATATCACAGTTTAGTGCTTACTTACAAAAATAAGGTTTTTGCATAAAAGACTGGTAGTTTTATTTTCCTATAGGTATTCACTTAGACCAACCATAACATATTGAATTTCATCTGTAAGTCAGTTCTTACAATGTAAAAAGAGACATCAGTAAACAAGAAGTTGTATAGTTACACACACAAAATCAGACCTCCAAATTAAAAGACACAGTCCAAAAAGGGGTGTCTGAAGTGAAAAAATCCTTCTCAGATGAAGAAATACAAATGGCAGACAAATACATGAAATCATATTCAACATCATTGGTCATTTGAGAGATGCACATTAAAACAGCACTGAGATTCCATCTCACCCCAGAGAGAATGGCTATCACCAAAAAATTGGGCAACCAATGTTGGCAGAGCCTTAGGGGAAAAGGAACCTTCTCCAGTGTTGGTGGGAGAGAAGACTGGTACAATCACTGTGGAAATCAGTCCTTACAAAACTAAGATCAGAGTTCCCATTCAACCCAGCTATTCCTCTTCTGGGTATCTTCCCAGAAAAATTAAAATCATAATTATAGTGATATATGTGGAAAAAATCCAAGTGCCCATCAACTGAGGGATGGATTAAAAAAAAGTTGTGGCCTTTTTTATATAATGGAATACTACTCAGCTATAAAGGAGGATAAATTGAAGACTTTTTATAGGTAAATGGATGCAACTTGAGACCATACTCATAAGTGAAATAAATCAGACCCATATATGTAAACATCGTACTGTCTCCCTAGTGTGACAAACTGAATGACTAAATAAGCTCCAATATTTACAACAGATGTTGTGACTTGGGAAGAAGACACTGTTCCAAAGAAAAGACAAATTGTGACCAGGGAAAAGAGAAAGAAAAGGGGGGGGGAATACACACACACACACACACACACACACACACAGTTATGGCTATACAGCTAGTTTCTCTTAGTTCACTGAAAAGAAAGTTTTGTGCTAATGTTGTTTGGAAAAGATATCATTCCTATATCTTGTACTTTCCATAACTAATAAGAAGACAACAGTATACAATATAATTATTATAATTCTCTATCCTATTGTGAAATTTTTATTTGTTCTTTAAAACACACACACACATACATGCATGCACACACGTGTGGGACGACAAGCTCCAAATCTGTATTCTCTCTCTAGAACCTTTAGTTGACGCTGAAACTGAGCAGAAGAAAACATCAGCAGTGATAAACGAACACAAAACTTACTAAATTTGCCTTCTCTCTTGATATCTTTTTTTGTTCTTCGGTTTTCAGCTTTTCATTTAAAGTATCATTTTCACTCTTCAGCTCACTGATTTGTTTCTGAAACACCGTGACACGTGCAGAATGTAAGTTATCAGGAAGATACCAGAGACAGAACAGAGCAACAGAGAAACATAACCAAACTGGAGAGACATCAAAAAAGATGACTTGGGAGGTGGTGTTCAGATGCACCCACCTCTAATGATTCCTGCTTCTCACAAAGTAAATTCTCAAGTGACTTCTTTTCCATTTCATGGCTTTTCTTGATTTCTAGAAAAAAATAGTATTTTTAAGGCAATACTATTCAATGATATAACACAATTACTGAAAGATATGCATGTAGGAGTTGATTATGAAGTCATGACTGCATTACTTTACATCTGTCTGATGCTTCTATACAAACTGAGTGATCTCCTCTCGGCCTAGGCTTGTGCAATGGGTAAGGTAGAGGTTCCTGTCTTAGGATTGGGTATGCTGAGACCCAGAGAGGACAAGAGACCTTACAAAACAAAATCAGAAACAGACGGTCACAGGGTCTCAAGACACTGGCCTCAGATGCGTGGTCTGATCCCCTACACTCTTCAATTTTCACTTCTTAAACCAAACAAAAGCCTAAAATCAATTACATGCCTAGCAGAGAGAAAGAAAAACAATGTTTACTAAATGTCTACCTTGAGCCACTCACTTTAATGTCTCATCACCTGTGACATCACACAGCTCTATTTTTCTGATACATCCTGAGAACAGGCATCCAGTCAGCTCCTACTCAATGCCCTTGTGCTTCTGTGTGAAATGCGGCTGCTTTACTGTAAAGACCACAGCTGCACTGCTAAGTTCTGGCAGACCAGCGTCTTGGTTTTTTTCCTTTCACTTCTGCCTTTCTGGTAATAAGAGGTGAGACAATAATAGTTCTTTATCCAACAAGAGCCGTCTCCATTTCCCAGCAGTGCTGGTGTGCAAGAGTGCCTAGTGTAGATCTTTTATGTGACCAAGATTTAAACTGACATCTTCCTAGGAACCTAAAATAGCAACCACTATCCACCACCACCACCACCACCAAAAAGGTCCTTCGAATCTTTTTTTCCTAAAAGACTTATATTTGTAACAAACTACTATTTGACTTCTTGGCAGTAAAGAGTGTCCACTAGCAAGGAACAATACACAAAGAACCCAAAACACACCCAACAAATGCCACAGGGCATTCTCTGAAGGGAAAAATTATGAATCATTTCCATCTTTAAAAACATCAAGTTTTTCCAACAGATCGTTCTATGTTTAAATAGCAAGAAAGGATGCTTGCCTGAAAGAGAAGTTTCATAGGCTTGCTTTAGCAATTCTATTTTTTCCGAGTGGCTAGCTTCCATTTCCAACTTAGAAGTTTCTTGGGCAGCATTTAAGTTGTCAAACTATAAGAAACAAGCAACACAAAGTTTACCAAGGAAAACAAAAAGTTCCAAGTTGAATAAACAAGCAGCAACATGAAGAGACCTTACATATAGGCTCATTTGAACTCATTTGAGTTCATGGGCACCACAACCTGAGACAGAGTGGCTTCTGCGAACTCTCCACGCTGTCCTCCCCAGGAACACAGAGCACGTGTATTATAGAGTTCCTTGATGGCAATGGCTGAATCCATCCCAAGAAGTAAGGCCATGCTCCACGGTGACAGGGCCATGGAAGCCCCATGCTTGTCACATTGCCTCATCACATGTAGTACTGTGTGATTTTACTATATCTAAATAGTAGACTTTCTCTATCTTTTCACTAAATGAAAATCTAACCTAGGAAATTAAAAAGTTTATAGCATAATAGTCAGTGTGTCGGGGGAGAAGGGTTATTTTAAAAGTGCCATTGAAAAAAAAAAAAAAAAAAGAAAGAAAGAAACCCAAATACCAGGATACTTCCAAAGGCATTCTTTCTGGACACTGGCATTAAAGGCTTTCTTAAATTTTAACTTTTCCTTTCAATTCAGCATATGGACCTAATTTTGTTCATATAGTCACAAGAAAAAATTCAACTAAAACTTTTTCCACCTATACACTAAAGGACTAAGGAAGACTCATCAAAAACCGAACAGCAATCAGAATTCAAGCAAGCAGCCATAACCGAGAACACGCTCCTGTTCTAAGGCACAGACCTGCTCTTGCAGTTGAGCTTTATACTTCTCTGCTTCTTCAATGTAAATGTTCTGAAGCTTTTCACACTCTCCGGTATAAAATTCCTTCAGCCGACTCTCCAGCTCTGTTCGATCTGTCTGGTGCTGCTGGTTTAACTTCTGGACAAATGCTTCATAGGCTGTTTGCAACTCATTCCTGGCTTTTTCTAATTTCTCACAAGTGGTTGAAGCAGCAACTAAAAAGATGAAAAATAAAAAGGTAGATGCCATTGAATCTGCTCAGTTTTCTAAATTCACACTATTCATACATATCTAGGATGACTTTAGAGTCATAAATACAATTATGGCTCAGTTCTCAGTGCCCAGGGTTAGCGTTTGGATAACGATGTATTCAAAATTACGTCTGTATATTCTCAGTCCATAAGAGGAAGGCCTAATAGAGGGTCTTATGTCTTTGAAAAAGACCCTTGGGAGGCTAGGACTGTGATCCCTTCTCCCTCCTTTTTTCATTTCCCAGCTATGAGGTGGACAGTTCATGCATCCCCCCACCCTGCCATGATGAGCTGCTCATTACAGGCCCAAGGCAATGGAGGCTCCAAAATTGTGAGCCAAGATAACCCTTTTTTTAATGAGCTGGTTGTAGTTTTTTAGAGTAACACAAAACTGGCTGACACAATCTAAATTTCACATATGAGAGTAGAGAAGTGGACTGTAAAAGGAAACAGATGCTGGCAGCAACCATAAAACATAAAACACCCCAAAACACTAATTACCAAGTGATAAGAAGAATACTTAGGAAGAGCTGAGTTTCCACCTAAAGGTCACCCTTTTGCATCATGAGCAATCACCACAGTGGCCACAAAGAGAAGAGCCTCAGATTGGCCATGACATTTCTAAGCACAAGTTACTCCATTCTTAGCCAGGGAGCTAAGATATAGAAACAGCAGAAAGGATCAGGCGGAGGGAACACATGGGCTTTACATGCATACTTAATTTGAACTGATTTCAGTTTACTTCAGAAATACAGTAATAAAATAAATATTACAACATATTGAACATAAATCACCAGAACACAGAAGTTTTAGAGGAAAAGCTACATTTTAAAAGGTCCAATATAATATAAAGGCTAACAGATCTCAAGTAGGCAAAGTAATTTTATAAACAATTTAAAATCAAAACATCCTCTCTCCTCCCCACTACCAAAAGTTGAATTATGCATCACATAACATGTTGTAGAACACACAATGAGATACACACACACACCACAGTAAATGCTAGAAGATCTCAAATGTCTTGGGAAGCGTGGCTTCCAACTTGCTCAGCCCTTCTCCATCAATGTGTACATACAAAATCCTACCGCAGTTGCCTGGAGAAGGAGTGTTCTCAGCATCTCAGAGTGCCAATAAATTAATTTAAAAGAGTTACTGATAAACCTGTCAGATTAATCCTTATCTCTCTTTTGGTAAAGAATATGTATTTCAGGAGTTGTGAAAGGCAAAAGATTGTTTTATGACAGAGAAGAGGGTGGTTCAGGCCAATAATTATTGTAAGGAATATAAAACTGGTTGGTTTCTGGGACGAATTTCCTATAATGGTATATCCTTGCTTCTTTGGGAACATGCCAAGTGGCGATAGCAGCAGTCAATACAGATGGTCACAAATGATTATTCCTTCAGAGATAAATGTAGACATACTAAAATAAGACTAATGCCTACAAAGAGAAGCCTTAAAAATTAGATAAATGCATAAATACTGAAAGGGGCAACAGTATGCGCGGCAGAGCCTTGCTCCCCAGATGGCACCACTGGCACATGGCGGACCCTTCAGAGGTGAGGCCTCGCCGGGAAGTCTTCAGGTCGCCGTGGCTGTGTCCTCAGCGGGGACTGCTGTACCTCAACCATTTCCTCTCTTGGTCCTGGAGTTCTCAAATGAAGTGCTGCCTCACTCATAGGAGCAAGCAATCAGTGTAAAGCCCCTAAAGCTGTGAGCCAAAATAAGCCATTTTTGTGCATAGGTTAATTACCTCAGGGGTGTGTGTAGGGTTTTTTTTTGTTGTTGTTTTGTTTTGTGGAACCGGGGCTTGAACTCAGGACCTTGAGGTTGCCAGACAAGCGCTTATTCTACTGAGCCATCTCCCCAGCCCTACCTCAGGTGCTTGTTGAAGTCATGGAAAGTTGACTGTTTCAAAGGGAAAGAGAAGGAACCATCATCAAGCAATGAAGCAAACAAGTAAGAAAACTATTCCATGCATGGCACAGAATAGGGCCCCATACCCTATTATTTTGTCTAATGCTCCAAATCTGATTAGTGTGTGTGTGTGTGTGTGTGTGTGTGTGTGTGTGTGTGTATGTGCACGCATGAATTAATTGTACTGGTACAATTTAGATATACATAATGATCACATTCATCATAGAAAATTAATACCTGTACATGAAAAATACTGATGCTTTTCCCCCATTCTCTTATTCTCCCTTTATCCCCCCTTCCCTCATTTACAAAAGCTTTCATATTTTTTTCCTCTTTTTCTTCTTGTTCCACACTTCTTGTCTCCCTCCTCTCCTCTCCCTAGTGCCCCTTCCCATTTATACATTTTCTTCCCATTTCCTAGTATCTATTATACATTTTGGTCCTTATTTATACTTTCAGTTTCTCACACTAGAGCAGCAGTATTTAAACACCTGTGTCTGATTTATTTCACGTTCGAGTATGGCCTCAAGTGCATCCATTTACCTAGAAAGGTCTCCAGCTTTCCTACGGCAGAGTAGTACTCCATTGTATATACACAGGGGCCATTGCACCCCACCAAGCTGCCGTGTACCAAGGCTGATGAGGCACATGAGGGGCCCTTCATTTGGAGAATTGCTAACTGAGCAGAGACACATGCAAACCAGCAGTACTGGGCCAAGAAGGGGCACACAAAGGAGTTTCCATCCTGTCAGGCTTGAATAGAAATTCTGGTCAGGTTTTTAATTTTTCAAAGATTTTTTTCTGGGGCCAGGATATAGCTCAGTGGTACAAAGCACAAGATCCAGAGTTCAATTCCTGGTACAAAAAAAAAAAAAAAGGAATTTGTAAAACTGACCTAACCTAAAATTTAGTGGTCTTAATAATTTTAATTATACAAGTCAGTGGTATTGAGTACATTTACACCATCACTACCACCCATTTCCAGAACTTTAACTGCCAGGTACCCCAGGTTAAAGCACTGTATCAATTATATAAATTCTCACACCCCAGTCTTTAGTAACTGTTACTTTACTTTCATCCTCTATGAATTTGACTTCACTGGGAAGGTCACATGAATGGAATCAACAGTACTTGACCTTTTGTTGCCTGGCCTATTTAACTCAGCACAATGTCTCCAGGGTTCATCCATATGTCAAGATTTCTACCTTTTAAAGGTTGAATAACATATATCACACTTTAAAATTTATCGGTTGATTTAGATGTATTTATCTATTGATAGATGTTTAGTTTGTTTCCACTATTTGGTGAGTGAGAATAATGCTGCTATGACTACAGAAGTACAAATATCTGCTTGAATCCATAGTGTGTGTGTGTGTGTGTGTGTGTGTGTGTGTGTATCTCCAGCAGAATTCCTAGCTCACATAATAAATTCTATTTTTAATTATTTGAGGGGCCACCATCCTCTTGCACAGTGGCTGCACCATATATAGTAAGGGTAGATGAGTGGACATGGGTTTTACATCCTCATCAAAGCATATTACATATATATATATATATATATATATATATATATATATGTCATATATTCATTCATCCTGATCCTAATGGGTGTGAGGCAGTATATTCGTGTGGCTTGGGTTAGGCTAGCATACTTAAATGAGCCATGTAACATTCTGGAGTTACATGGCTAACGGGTGATAGTGGAAGACCAGAGTATTGCCATCTATAACATTTATGATATGAGCTTTCAGTTAGGCTTTTCTTTTACTCTGATATCTGAAATTGTAAAGGAATTAAGTGAAAAGGCCTCGCCAAATCAACATTCCTGAGTAAAAAGCAACTGGATGCCTTTGTTGATTGGTTACAAGTCCTTTTTGACTGCCTACTTTGCATGTCTAATACAGGAGATACACAACCTTCAGAAAAAGGATCCCATCATTGCAGCCCTGTTTCATTTGTGTACACTGGAAAGTCAGTTGGCTAAAGCTAATGTTACTGTATTTACTATAAAATCAAGTAGAACATACAGAAATCCTTCCACATTAGCCACCAGACAGGTTGAAAGAAACCTGTTTCCTCAGTTTGAAAGAAAAAAAAAAGAAGAGACAAACCCTAAATAGCATGCAATTTTGTTGTCCACCACGCACAGGGCAATAGGAGGACAGATGGGAAGGACCTGGAAGGAAGGAAGAAAGCAGGTCAGGTGGGGGTGGGGTGGAGGACTCCTGTTTTTCCCACAATCCACAGTGACAGGCCCAGCCCCAGGCAATGACATCAGCCTGCAGCTGTACGGATACCTCTGCTGTTTACCAGGCTAGTTGTACAGTGTACTTAACAGCTGGGCTGCCATAACCACCCACACAAATGCCTTTAGTTTCAATCAACTGATCTGAGTTACTAAGGAAACATTTACTTGGCATAGGAAGTCCTGAACTATTTTTAAAAGGATGCATATGTAAACACTGTACTCAAGGTTCTCAGAGTGCTCCTGTCTGCTGAGTTGTACTGTGCCTATAGGGAGGTCGGCACTCCAGTTTCAAGTGACTTTGCCTTAACACAGCGCAGGCGAGATTTACGGTGCACTTGTGTGGGCTCTCACTCCTGCCCTCATCCACCCTTTTCTTACTCTCCAGGTCTCTATTTGTTTTCAGTTCATCAAACATCCAGTCTAAGCACCTGCCTGGCAAGTGTAAGGACCAGAGTTCGATCCCTGGTACCACATGCCATGCCGGCCCCTGAATCCTGCACACGCAGTTCAGGCCACCAAAGGACCGCTGAGACCAGCATGGTGATGCATGCCTGTAATCGCAGCGCTGCGGAGGCTCATCCTCCTGAGCATATAGGAGGATTGCTACAAATCTGAGCTGCGTAGAAAGACCCTGTATCAAATAAATGTTTTCAAACATTAAAAAAAGCCAAAACCAAATATAAATCCATCAAGATTTTGAAATAAGTAAGAACAGAGTTTCCCTCCAGTGATATGAGAAAGGTTTAGAGTTACTACTCCAGTACAAAATCTATCTGGTGGGCTGGCCAGATAGCTCAGGGG